TAATATTGCAGATGCATGCACAATATCCAATAACAATAAGGTATGCCCGGGCAACAGCAAACTTAAAAACCTTGGCCCTTCAACATGCTTTAGAATTGCATAGATTAAATCACGATCTTCTCCAGTCAACAATTTATGAAGGGCATTATAAAAAATAGGTAACTGATTCATGCCCGCAACTGAACCATTCACGCATAATGTACAAAGAATTTGTAGCGCCCATAGTTTACCTTTTTTAAAGGAATTATTCAGTTCTAAAGCGCCATAGCACCAAGGTGCTACTATACCAATTGGCGGTACAAGTGTAGGAGGTGGCGGTGTACTTTGATTGTCTGTTGAAATACCTTGGTTTTGTTTGATTTTTATTAGATTTATAGTCATGTCGAGTAAGTGTTTAAAAACCTGCGCATGAAGATCTGTTTTGGGTATGCGATTTACATCTCCCAAAGCACCCAGCATACGCTTCCACATAATAGCTGTAGAATCTGGTAACCAACCTGTAGCAGTTCCACCTAATATTATGGATCGACGTTCCGATCCAGCAAAACTGCCTGAATTACCGTCTTCTAAACTTCCAGTGTCGACTGCCAACACATCTATCTGCATTTGAGCATCCTTAATAGAGCTACCTTCGATACCACTACTTGCAGTTGGTGAAGGACTCCGTGAATCTCCTCCACTAATATTATCATCACCATCAATATCGTCATCACCAGTGTTAGATGAACGTCTTGGACGTTGCTTACGACGTTGTCGTTCTACATTTGCTAAAGAATCTAAAGACATTGCTCTACGCATATCTGCTTGCGTCAGTGATATTGTATGTAACTTTTGAGAATTCAATGTTTCCGTACTGCCGCTTACGTCTGTAATTGGTTGTTGAGCTAAAAGTGCATTTAAAGAATGTTCCACACTTGTTGGAAGAACTGGGGCTGGTACTGATTTTTGTGAAGTTATTTTATGACGTTTTCGCATACGAGAATTACGAGCAGCTGATGCTAAACTACCTTCACTATAACTGCGACTTAACATCGGTGTAAGTGGTATACCGTTCAAGTTCCGTACAGGTATAGAATTTTGCGATGGTATTGAATTTCCAGTTGCATTAGATGCGTTTTGTTGTATATTAGAACCTCCGCTTTGTGCTGCTTCATCAGACCGATTGCTACAAGAATCCTGCGCACGTAATAAAGGATCTTTGCTATTTTTATCTCCAACAATACCAAGATTTGATGAGTTTGTTTGATGCCAAACGCTACCAATACGCCTACGTTTTCCTTTACTTTCAGCTAACCGATCTAAAGGCAAATCCTGCAAGTTCAATGCGTAAACGTAACGTGAGAATACTCGTGTTAGAGTCTGTATCGTTTTATCCCATTCAATTATTAATTCATCCCGATACGTAAGCGAAGTTAGTACAGTCAAAAATTTTTCCCATAACTGTACATTTACTGGTACATTTGTATGCCCACGTATCCAGGTAACAATAAGGGTTTGAAAAATAGCTTGACCCAATATACCACCCAAACTAGTACTTTTATTTCCACTAGGATTCTGATGTAGCACAATTGATGTCACTTGTAATAGTACTAAAAGAAGTTGTTCCCATGTTTTAGGTTCCATATGGGTATTCATAACCATGGTTCGATAAACGTTTAGTACCTTTTTACACACCTCTGTCTGCTCATGTAAAGGTGTGGAGCGATGATCACGAGATTTCGTTGGAAAGTATATATTTAAACTACTAGTGTTAACTAGAAAGACATTAGCAGCATTCGTTACAAATACTTGCAATACATTTTGCATGCCAGCGCGTACTACGAGATTCTCTTTGGTTATTGCACCTACATAAGATGGTGTGCGTAAACGTTGACTGCGTGGTGTGTTTCCAGCAGAACTACTTGGATGTTGTACAGCGCCGTTTGGTGAATTACCAGCTGCGCCGCTAGAATTATCGTCAGGATCTAATAAAAATGTTGGTGGTGTAGCACCCGTCATCCAATCACGATAAACAGCTATTGCAGTGCGTATAGCATCAATCTGTGGCTTTGAAGTAAAGTTTAACAAAAATGCTTGTCGATACACTTCATGTATGAAATTTATGTTATCACGTGAAGCGTATAGTACATCCCGTACAATTAATCCTTGTTGGTAGGAGAGTAAGCGTGTATGATCGACATCTTCCATATGTACATTATCCAAACGATGATTTAATAAGCGCTCGTGGGTAAAACGAGAAATCCAATTAATTAGCACAACCACACAAGAGGACATTACTTCTTCTTTCTTATTAATTGTACGCATATTCGGCAGTTCTAAACGTGGATCATAGATAGACATGGTAAAATCAAAATTTGGGCAGAAAACAGGCAGAAAGACTTCCTTAAATCGTTGCATTAAAAAAGCGAAAGCTTTATGGTCTTTATTTGCGCGACTATCTCGCCAACGTAAGCAAGCTGCGGTTTGTACCATACTATTCAATAAAATCTCCAAACCATCTCTTGGATCAGGTGGTGCAGTCTTCTCACTCGAAGAGGGTGGTAGTAAAGCAAATAATTCTGAATTCTGCACTGGATGAGAGAATGCATCATGAAATACGGATGTCGTACCACCTTCTACTTTCATGTTTGGATGATTTAAAAAATCCGAGGTATTAAATTCTGCATCAAGACCAATACTAACACCTTTTTGCGGTACAATCAAGCCTGGTATAAGATCTGCGTACATATTATGCACGTACATGGGCGAGTTGTCACCGAGCGCTTGGTACCATAGTAAGAAGTAACTGAAAATTATACGAGGGCAATATTAATAAATAATTTTTTTTAGTTTAAATTTTATTTTCAAAACTTACCGAACACCTTCTCGTCGCAACTTCGGCGAATTTCCTAAATGGAGCAATTTCGCCATAATACGACTGAGTGAGTGACATTGCCAACGTCGCCCTAGCAGTTCTGGCAGTAAGCAAAGTATTTTTTCTAGTAGCCATAGTGTACCATCCAACTCCTCACGATGTGCTTTGTGTACTAAATTAAAAATGCAGAAATATTATTAAAATTTTAAAATCCGGTTTCTGAGTAGAATAATATAGATGGCGTTATTATATGAGATGCACAAGTTTTCTCTATGAAGCTGAAGAATGGCAAAAAAAAATTTAGATTTCAAAATGAAGTATAATATATATGGGATAAATATAAATGTAATAGATATATATAAATAGCAAAAAGTTTCTAAAAAAATTATATGGGAGTGGAAATTTGTTTGCAAACGCGCATAGGAAGAAAGACATGCAAATTTGAATATAATAAATTACAATATCTAAAGAGTTGGCCTGATATACTATAAAAAAGTATAAAACAAGTACTTAAGGAAGTTTGGCACTTCCTTAACTGGAAATCAATATGTACATATATATAGGACATGTTCTCAATTCCGTCGCGTTAAAAAAAGTCAACCGATCACAATTTTGCTTTGGTATTCTGAATTCCGAATGCAATGACTTGGGTTATAATTTCCGAAAACAACTGTTTCAAATGATTTCAAAACTATCCTATAGCTTTTAGCTGTAATTATAACTATGTTTAACATACATTTATTGTTTGAAAAAAAATAGTCGGAGTTATTGAATGCGCCCAAAAATAAAAATGTGAAAAATTGCTGAAGCAATAAATATTACACAGATTATATATAACACGGGCATTCCCCCATATAACGCGGTGATTTGTACAGTTCATAATTAGCTTCATGTACCTTTGCACGTGTGTATACGGGGTATACATTAATACCCATATAACGCGGAACCAATCTACCGCGTTATAGGGGGAGATTACTGCAATTATAATGCATTACAAATATTTAAATGGAAGTAAATTGTTTATAATTTAGTAATTAATAAATTTTTTACACAAAACTGGTTTAGAGAACTAAATCGCCTAAATAAGAAAATATTGAAATTATTTTGTATACAATTTGTGTGCACTTTCACTTTTAAACCACCCGAAGATTACCCCAAAAATTCAATTGACGGCTGTTTTCGATTTCGAAATTAAATATTATATTGTTTTGTTTAATAGTTCTGTGCCTTAATCTTTTAAATAAAAATAATTTTATTTGATAAACCATCTCCTTTCGCATATGACTTATGCTATATTTAGATTATTGTACTTATAACTCAGCAACTATGTAGCAACATGTGCCATTCTTCTTACAAAATCCATACAAAAATATGCTAAACTGGTTGGATAAGTACAAGTGTAAACATAGTATTACATGTTCATCGGAAATGTTCTAAGGTAAACGAAGAAAGATCTGGACCCAAACTAATCTAAAACGAAGAGCAATCTGATGATATTCCAATTCGAATTAGGAGTGGGACATGGATGTGGCATGGATGGCCAGCTTATAAGAAATCCTCTCTGAAGTGATGCGAAAGCGGTCTCAGGGGAAGAAATCCCGCAGAAGAAGAGAGCGCGTTTTACTTCATAAACTACAAAGTAAGAGTCTGATACACCATCCCGGCGAGGGTTGGTTTGACGGTGCATAAAGCATTCCACCTCCTCACCATAAAAAAAAATTACATGTTAACCGTAATTTATATAAAAAAAGTAAGAGAAGTAAATTACCGTCATTTATCAATACTCCCTGAGCTTCTATAAGTGAGGTAGAGAGTGGTGCTATATACCAGTTAATACATCAGAGAATGAAAATAAATATAATCAACAATTAATAAACATGCATTTAATAATAAAATTTAATAATAAAATTTGTGAATTACTTTTCATTCCACAAGCAAAGAAAATAAAACTTTTAAAACCGATTAACTTTATCGTTTTCCGTTTTCGAGAACACAAATCAATTCCATTTTCGTAATTTCTTTCGGAATCGGAATTGAGAACATGCCTGTTAGATATATATAAGTATGTATGTATATAATTTTCTAATGTGACTAAAATGAAGCAAACTTAAAAGAATAGATGTATGTAATAATTTTGCAGTAAATGTGAGACAGTTCCATAGAAATCAACCACAAACTTACCAATATGAAACGGAAGTTCTGCCATTTTCATTTCAATTTAAGAAACAGAAACAATAAAAGAATTTATTTTTGAAATTTAAAATAATTTTTATGTTTTTTTTGGAATTTGTTATAATTTTTTGAAAGTGTGCGTGTGTTTTTTTTTTAGTCGTACACGACATAGGAAAAGGAAGAAAATAAAATAAATTGATTAATTTTTTTAGAAATTAGATCGTTAATATACTAATAATTAATATAATTGGTGTAATAATAAATAAAATGGATCATTAATTTCGCCTAAAAGTAATTGCGATCGTATGTTAATTCAAAATTGTAACTGCTACCACAATCTTTTATCTATTATATATCTATATATATATATATCTATTATAAAAATATAATATAATATAATAATAATATTATAACAAAAAACTTACTTATTCCTTTCTTTTTTTCCTTTCCCTTCCTTACCATCTTATGTTACTACAGTCGTCGTAACGTAACGAAAATGGGCATATAACGTAACGAAATGGGCATATAGGAAAACTGCCGTAGTAAACTATTATCTAACCAATTCTTTTCTAGTCATGAATATTTTCAAAAATATCTCTTTCCCAATGATAAAGCAAATAACCCGAAATGGATATAAGGAAATGTAGATGAAAACAATACTGACCACACCATCTTCAGATACACTACATGAAACCCCGAAATAATATCACTTAAAGCAATAGTCTGTGATATAAACGTCGAAAATATCACAACGAATATGATACTATCTGAACTGTAACTGTACAGCTTTGTTACGATTATACTTCAATAGAAAAAATTAGATCTCATACCTAAATTAATATTTTCGAAGATAGGTAAACAAATAAACCAACACAAGGACCCTATCTATTTCCGATAAAGTTTCGGAGAAGGAACAGTCTTGTAGGGGATTATTTTTAGTCCGTGCAAATAGGGCATATCAGTATTGCCAGCAGAAAAAATAAGACTTTATAAAAAAGGCCTATATGTATTCTTGACCATTTAGTTGTGGAAGTTCTGAGCGTAATCGATTGGCTTGACATTGCTTTAATGAGGAATTGCAACAATAAACTTAATCCAAGTAATTTATATCCATTTATATTCAATGTGAATTGTTTTCGAAGTCATGGACCAATGTTAAAGGTTTTATGCAATCAAAACAGATAAATGGAGTTAACAAGTAAAATATTCATATTATTTTAGTTTAAACAGATCTAAACACAAATCATTGGTTACTTTAATTGGGCATGCATCTATTAACAATAAACTTTTAAAGGGCGGATTGAATGTCGGTAGCGCCTACAGATTCTGAAACATGCACCTTAATTTATCTGTCTGAAACAAGTGATTATTTCTTACATCCATTTGGTTTTCATTAAACAGAATGGAGTCCGGGGTTTTAAACCAAATGTTTTTTTACGGTTCATCAATAGCAATTTTTATGTCCATCTTAGTTTATGCAACAGATTTTTTATGGTCGCAATATTCTATTTCACTCGGAATAGAATTTCTACAATCTTTAATTAAAACATATTGAATACATAAATAAATAGAAAATGGAAAAACGCTTTGCCATGTAATCTATACGGTTCTATGTACAAAAGTTCTAACTGCACTATACTATCATATAGGTTCCTTACAGACCTAAATGACCTATATTTTTTTAAAGAAAAAAAATAACACATGTTAGGTATGAAATTCCTTTTCTAGAATACTTTTTAAGATAATAAAACTATATAAAAATTATAAAAAAATTAGGACAAAAATAGTTTTTTATCATATATAAAATCTGACTCACATTATTTAGAGAAGTGATTAATGATTCCCAACCACCAAACTGTTATCAAAGATACTTTAAGTAGCTACTAATTCCTTTTGTTTATATTTTTAATTCTGTGCGTAATTCATTATATGTAGGGATTATTCATACATCTTACACATGGTATTTAAATACCAACATATAAGTATAAAATTACAAATACTCAACTATGATCCATTTTATTTATCACACACAATATCTATATTTATACATTATATTCACAACTTAAATAATTATAATCCGATTAACCTTAAGCCGAAATGTTGTTTTGAAGTATTTACCTTTTTGCTTCAGGTTAGCCTCCGCTTGTATGAAAGTATCGTAGAGTATGAAATAAACGTGACTGTAATTTGTTTCAAACAATGATTTTGCATCTTCATGATCGACGTTATCTGAAATAAAACAGAATAATATTTGGTCAGAAGTGTGAAAAAATAAACATACTTAACAAATATTTAAGAAAATTATTTATAACAAAGGTTGACTTAAGAAAATATATAAAATTATTTGCCACAATTAATAAAACATAATTTTATATATTTGTAATTTTGGACGAGTTCATTTCATACAAATTCTATTAAATAATATTTGTTTTAAAATATTCTGAACAGAGAATGAATATCGAACGCGATATTCTTATAGTTACTCATAGTCATATCGAACCAAATTCATAATAGAATTTTGGTGCAATAACTTTTGTCAGTGTAAGGAGTCGGATGCGTCTCAAGCAGCATCTTCGGCTTTATTATCAACCATCTACCTTTTACTCGGCTCTGACGACTGAGTACATGGTGGTATAACCATGCCAACATCTTGCTGTAGTAGGAAATGACTGCAGCTAAAGCGGTGAATGTGGCAAGTTTGGAGGCCGTATGTCCAATAAATATTCGTCGAAGGTAGCAGCCTTACCTCAAACTTTGAGAATTAAAGGTTGATACCATATGATTCTCGAGAACAACTCTTATCAACAACTATACAACTTTTGCCAAGATTTTCAGTCACTCAAATTATTCTTTCGGAAGAGATCGTAACAAATAAAAAATGTCGGTACGTAAGTAAAGTTTAAATATAAGGAACTAGAATAGATCTCAATTAAAGAAATTTAAAAAAATTGAAAATGGCACCGATGAAAAGGTGAGCAAATGAATCATGATTTTAGATTGTAACATGACTCAAAATAAAAAAGTAAGTAGCATCTTGTTTTTATATCTCATATCTGAAATCTGCATAATTTGAATCATTTTCTGTTATTGTTGTAGCTTCATTCCGGATAGTTTCCTCATTTCTGAGAAAGCATGGGTTATATTATTACTTACTAGAGCGATAATTCTTTTAAAAGTTGTAAGCATACATGATAAGAGTTATATTCGGAACCGCGACTATTTGTTAGGGACTACTAATTAAGTAAATATAAAATAAATGTTATTGAAAAAATGTATTTATAATAAATAAGAAATGCAATTCTGACACTACTATCTTTTAGTTTCAGCTATATAGTATATCATATTTATGTTTTTCTTTGATCTTGAGAACAAAAATTTGTATTTATCAAGCAGCGTGTTATTTGAAGCAGTGTAGAATTACTATGGTATAGAAGTGTACCAATAACAGAGAAACTTTCAAAAAAAAAATAATAATAATAATTCCAATTATGTATTGACATTATATTATTTTCATTATAACAAACGCAAAGTATTTCAACTTAGGTAGTAATATGTACTCATAAAAAATTTGATAAGATAAAAATTTGTATGCAGTGAACACCTGGATGGTAGGGTTAAGATTTATGTAAAAAAAAATTTAGAAAACCAGACATAACCCTTATTAACTCTTATTAGTTAAGATTAGCACGTCCACTCAATAACTTTACACTAGGTAATTTAAACCAATGACATTGGTTAAATCATATTAAACTGATCTGTAGCATCTTCATTAATTGTATCAGAAGTAATCGTGTAAAAAGTATGTGTATTAAAATAAATAATATAATTATTCAATTATATTCTATACATAAATTCAGTAATAAAAATATAATTATTGTGTATTTTATTATCTTTCTGGAATGATGTTTGGAATTTTCTTCGATCTTATTGAAGTTGACTCTAAATCTGGATATAAATTTATCCATATATAGATAATCTATCTATTATACACATCTATTATATAAAATACATTTAAATATATATTATCAATATAAATGCCCTGTTTTAAAACTCTTTCAATAATTTAAATCAAAATTAGGTAATAATAAATAATATTTAAGCTCTATTAGCTCATTAAATTTAAAGACTTCAATTAAAAATATACACAAGAATAAATAATTTATAATCCTACTCAACTTAATTACTTACTGACCTAAATTTAACGTAAAGAATATATTATTTTCATTATAACTAACAGAAAGTATAAAAACTTGGTCGTATGTACAAGTGTATAGTTTTCTTTAAGCAGCAAAATTTATTCAAATAAAATTTGATTAGATAAAAATTTTGCAAAATAAGTGAAAAAAAAAATTAAAACAAAAATGCGTGAAGAATTAGGAGTTGAATTCTAGCGGTGAAATGGAAAAACCAAATTCCAAATGATTATAGAAACGAACTCTTTTGCGTCAGCAAAGTAGGAGAAATCCACACAATTATATACACAACAATACTATAGACATTAAAATCGTTATATAATTCGGTAGACTACATTGAAAGTTTATATATTTTTAATTATTTATTTGTGATTGAAATAATTAACGCTAAATGTGGCTTATTCTACTCAGCGAAAATTATAGTTGAAATCCATGAAGAGCTGGCAATGTCCCTGTGGAAAGTAGTAAGTAGTAAGGGAATAGACGTTCATAGGCTTTCGCACAACTCTAGATATGTGTTAAATCAAATAGCATCTAAAGCCCCTACAAATTTAATAAGAAAACGCTATATTTTGAATTGACTATAATTTAATACTATACTCAATAAGCCAGATACGTGTGCAGGGATAAACCACAGCAACGCCTTTCAGCGTTATTCATACGCTTACCACTACGGTCCTTTCAGGAATACTTCTGGTCTATGTATGAAAAACACTGATCCGTGGTATAATCGCGAGCTCCAATGTGAGTTCAAATAGGCTTTGGGTACAAGGCCGCCTCTCCAACGTTACCTAACATAAGCCCTAGCAGCTTTTTATATTTTTTCAAAAGATTGAAGTGTGATCCCAACATTACAAAATCATGACAGCAGTTTGTACAAATTAAAATATCATTGTACATAGACTTACTTACTTTGAAGATTTCGATAATATTAATTACATTACAATTATGAGATTTTTCAAAGACTTAAATAAAAGGCTGTACCAAAGTTTTCTCAGGGTTTAGTATACATATAGCCTAATGTATTAAAATAACGTAGTTATAAAACTTTTATTAGATTATTCTTTTACAACGGCCAAGCTGAAATCAAACAAAAATATCTGAACATATCTAACCAAACTTGAGCAGATATACCCTTCTGTCACACTTCAAGTTCGAACTGGTTCAAACTGGACAAAAAACGTACCAGTTAACAGCTTCAACTAACCTACTCAGCATTAATTCATCGGTGCTCACATGTCACTGTTAACTAGGAATATATGCTCTGACACTTGATATACCCCATAATGACTTCTGTCAGGGGTTGTAACTCTGCGGATAGGCAGGAAATCCTTATAATCTGTCAGGGTTTATTAATAAGTAGGAGAAGATTTAAAATTCTTAGTCACTTTTCTCACCGACCTGATAAACCTGTTATCCTACAAAATTAGGGACTTAGTTAACTTTAAAAACTTATCAATTTAGTTAACTTTCGATTGCATGAGAGTGTTGTGACTTTCTAATTCACTCTAATCTGTGGTTCCACAACGAGCCATTATTTGAACTTGAGTGGGCTTTGGGCACAAGGCTACCGCACCAACCTAACCTAAATTAGATTATTAATTACTTTTCATACAAACTATACTTCTATAAAATCACCTGATTAAATCATTATCATATTTCAATAACTCTATTGTTACAGTGGACTATTATTAAGTAAAAGTGCTATAGAAACTAAATCGCGTTTCATCAAGCAAAGAAGATCAAGAATATTTAATTTTTCTCTCATTTTATAATTTACTAGCTGACCCGGCGAACTTTGTATCACTCACTCGTTTTTTAATGATCGAGCAAGAGCAGTGTGAACTCGATCTCTTTCTTGCCTAGTTTTTCTCTGATCACTTGATAAAAATTTGCAAAAACCTTCCCGGGGATATACCTAATAATTTCCCAAATTTTCACGGTGGTTGGATGTATGGTTTTTGAATCCATCGAGTACAGACAGACAGACAATATTCATTTTTATATAGATTTATATTTTATAAATTTATCTAAACTATATTTTTATATAATTATTAAACTTTGTACTCATCTACTACTTTCCGTTCACATAATAATTATTTTTACAGTTCAAAAAAATTTGAGAAGAGTGTTTCCTTGTAGACTGTAGTAGGCTGTAAACAGTGTACTATGGTACAAGAAATTTAATCACGAACAAAACATCAATAAGATCAATATATTCAATTCAAAATGCAGATGGTAGGGTGCAAATACAAATGAGGATGATTCAGAAGTGTTTTTGCGGCAAAATATTTCCAAATAAGCTAAGTTCAAAGAGATTTCTTTTAAAACAGGTTCCCAAAGCAGAAGAAAGTAAGTAATGACATTTTTAGGTGTATGACATGACTAATAGCAATAGCGGACGAGTTAAGTAATACAATTACTTAAGAAGCACCTCATTAGTGCTTCAAAAGAACTAAGTATATTTTATTACTACAGTGCGATATTATTTGAAGAACTATGCTTACAACCTCAGTTAGCCAAGAATAGCAGAACATCTGGTTCAGCGAGTTAGCGAGTTGGTACTACGATATGAGCCAAAAAAAAAAAAACAAAAAGAATTGGCGTTAAACTTGAGCTAAAGCACGGCAATGTTTAGCGAGAATACGAAAGCACGGCAAAAAGTGTTAATCAGGAATGAATGTATGTGATATATGATGTATATATACGAATATAAGAATGATAATTGCTTCAACGGTAGCGTGGTGTAGACACATGTAAAGGGGCACTGAAGAGCAGAACTAAATAACATTTTAGCAAGCTATTAAATATTGTATAAGCGCTAATGATGTTTCCAGTTAACGCCGCCGAGGCAATGATAAAAAGCAATGCCATTGTAAATTTTTTTTCCCCACACATTTCTCCGTACCTAGCCTTCTATACACTATATTCCATATTTTCTATATATTTTGATGTGCTTTTTTTTAGTTCAAATTAATGTGCTTTTTTTTGTTTATTTACACTTGATTTCCAATTGTACATAAATAATTTGCATAATTTTATTTTATTTGAGAATTTTTTATTTTTCATGTGTTGTACTTTTGTAGATTTTATTAAAGAGTTTATGTGAGTGAGTGCGAATAGCGTATGAAATTGTTTAAACTTGGAAGTACTGGAAGTGCACAGCAGCTAGTACCGAGCAGGCACTACTGTGCGGCATGAAAAGCAATACCAAAATTCACAAAAACAAATATAGCAGGAAATAGAATAATGATGTGATGACATGACGGCGGCGGTTGTAGTGGTGCAAAGAGTAAAAGCTAATGTCCATAAAATTGCTAGTACATATACAATATACTATATTGTAAATTGGTTTATCAATTGGCAATGTTTAGTATTGGTAACATGACTTTGCTGTTTGGGGAATTGAAAATTCAGCTTGTGGGCTAAAGTTGTTGTCATTGATTTGACCAGATTCATATATTTTTTTTCTTTTATATTTCTTGTTTGTTACACATAAGCGACCGAAGTATAGCACTTACTTACACCTACTGCTTTTTCTATCTTGAGCACCGCAATGACATACATACATACATACAAACACACGGCTTAAGAAATATATTTAATTACAGTTATTTTTGATATATTTTTTTATTTAAAAAAAATAAAATTTACCTAAAATAGTGCGCAAATGTCTTAGACGCGATGAGGAATCCTTTTTGTAGTCCTGCAATTTTGCGGTGGACTTTTTTATATCGGCATGCGATTTTTTCGTAAACATTTTCTTTAGCAACACATTAAATATAATATATTACATTTTTAATTATATTTTTTATTTTATATTTATATATTAAAAGCACTTTAATTTTTTATTTCGCATTTTGCACGCACAATATCAATAACCCTTTCACAATTATTAAAGGTATCAGGTGCTACTTTAACTATTTTCTTCTCGCCACCAACAAAAGTTGTTTTCTTTTATTTACTGTCGTCGCTGGCAAATTTTTTTTACTTTTTCTTTTACCGTTTTTGTTTAGCATTTTTCACATACAGTTTATTAACATGTAGAATAACTTATGAACAATTATATTTTATATTAATATTTATTTTAAATACATATAATAGTTATTGCAATAATTTTTAATAGAATTTAGCGATTTTTTCTAAAGGTAAAAACACTACAAAAATAAGAGCAGCACTCACAACGCAAAATGTAAAATGTTGACGTTATGAAAGTTGTTACGGCGAATTACGGCGAAAAATTTGACGACTCTGTTTTGTGGCGAGTAGTATTGGAAATAGTAAGAAACAAATTAGCATTAAAAATTATTTATTGAATTTCGTTAAAATATATAATGAGAGTAAATTACAATTACTATAATTTAATTAAAAAAGTTTTTTGAACAGTAGTGAAACCACAACAACAAAAATTTATTAAATATTATTTTAATTAATTGAATTTTTGGTTGACCATACAGCTGTTTTGAATATTGCGAAGTACCCAAGATCAGTGGTCTTGCAATAATTTTTTTTATATTTAGTTATACGTAAATAATTTTTTGAGACTGCAAATACCAGAAATCGAACTCGTATTTTGCCAAATTTGAAGCTCAGAGTCAGCGCACCTTAACCAACTAATTAGCTAATTTTTATAATTTAAAATACAACTAATATAATTATAAAAAGTTGTATGTTATATATAATTTATAGCTTTAACTTGTTGTCCTAATAATGTTTATATTAAGCAGCTGTTCGAATGATTTGTAATAAATTACAAAATATATTTGATGGAAATTTAATTTAATATAAGCTTCGAAGAAAATAATTAATGAAATTGCATTATTTTAGACTGCGGACACGGTTTCAAGAGTGTGAATTAAAAAAAAAATATTTTAAAAAATATTTTATTCTATTTTAAATCATAAACGAAAATCATGCCGTTTGCAACCAAGTAATTCGGTGAAGATATCCATGCTCTTCGAAACTCGTGTTTCTTAAGTATCTTGTTCTTCGGTGGTTAGCTATATAATAATGTCGAATGTTATTTTATTTAATATGTAATAGAAATAAAATTAGATTTATAAATAGTTGATGAATTGTTTTTTTTTGTTGGAATATGAATCGCTTCTTCGGTTTTTATTTAAAACAAACGGCTTTATGAATGGAAAAAAATATAATTTTATTACCTTAAATAATTAGAGCAAAACAAAAATAAATAAGTACAATATGTAGGTATGCAAATATTCAATTCAATTTTTTAGAAATTTTATGGAACTGTTATCGCATTAAAACAAATGATGTTTGTATGTATGAAGATATATACATATATGTACTTTTATAAAAGCTCTTTTAAAAAAATGAGTAAACAATAATAAAATTAAAAGAAATGGATTTCATGCCTTTCGCTGCCGTTTTTGCTAAACTAAACACGATAGTATTCAATATATATTTTATGAAAATATTACTTATAAATCTACATCTTATAAGTGCTTTATTAATGTATATTAAACGGCGCGGGTAAAGGTTACAGTAAATTGAAACTGTTTGGTTTCCTATTTTGAAGTCTAACTCCGCTTAAAACGTGGCTTTCGTTTTGTAAAAAATATTGTTTCTTAAATTAAAAGGCAATAATATAAATACAGAAACCACTGTACAATTCTTAAGGTGTTATCCATAGAAATTTGTCAATAACAGCGTATTAAAGCAGCCTCTTGCAACAAAAGGAGACAAAATTCAAAAAATTGGATCCCGTCTATGTTATATTAACTCCTAAAATTTTCTACCAAATATAAAACATAGATGATTTAATTATCATCAACACAGCTGAGACTTACCAAAAAGATATTTTTGTCGAAACTGAAGAAATTAAATGGTTGGGAATGGTTGAAGCAAGATTGGGTTATAGCAGCTACCCATCTGCTAGGAAAGTGCAGTTTTTTTTTTGCAGACTTATGTCTATGAAGCTTATGACTTCGGTAAGACCAAAAAGTTCCGAAAATAGTTCTCTTCTGAGTATTGAAAAGAACTCACATAAATATAATATGTCGTATTCCGAATGAAATGAGTTTGGGAAACCATTTGAGTTAAATAGTACACAACTATATGAAAATATGCCGGAAAAAGCAACGTCTCGATTGGATATGCAATCAAACCGGGATTAACTTGATTAAGTTGTAAGTACTGCAAAAACGACATGGCAAAACTAGAAGATTTCATATTGATTATGAAGGTTTTATAAATGTATGTTATTTAATCTCTCAAATAGCTTTTTTGAAATTTGCATACTCAATTTTAAAATATTTTGGAAAAAGCTAGCATGCAGAGTAAACATCAGGCAATACTTAATCGGAGAATGCGATGTGATAGGTGCGATAGGTATGATATATCCATATTGGTTTGAAATCGGCTATATGTGCTACAATCACCGGCTTGGCATTCTGATTTTTTTAATACGTGTTTATATAATAACGAGGTCAAAGTTCTGTTTGCAACTTTCACTAGAGATTTGTTAAGATCACGATAGATGTGGACATTAGTTATGTACTATGAAGAGTATATCATTTCTCATGGAGTTTTGATTGGAATATTTAAAAAATTTCGATATTACTGCTGTGCACCATAGCTAAATGCCGTAGGTCTGAACTGATTTCAGCACACTTTTATATAAGGGGAATGATATGTTAAGTGGATGAAGGACGCCTATCCAAATGCATGCCTATATATTTTGCAGTGTTTAATTGTGAAATTATTACATATTTAGTTTAATTTTAAAACAACTGTCTCTTTTCATAGTAAATATGACTTGGGTAGATTTAGATTCATTTATTTTTATGTGCTAACGCTTCACCTAATTTAACATTTCATAAAGATCTGATAGAGTTTAGAAAAGGGTTCAGCGGGATGACTTATAGTCGCCGGGATTTCTAAGGAGCAAAGTTAAAGTGCGAAGAAATAATGAATAGATTAACTATAGAAACTATTTCCATTCGGGCTGATGTACACTCACTTCGGCAATTATTCGGCAAATCAAACCTCAAGTACCATTCAAAAGCCTTTAGGATTTGTAGCTTTCTTACATAAGGATGAAGAATTAATAGAATAAAAATATTTTATTTTTTTAAAAATTTGTATTATGTTGTTAAGCAAATGAAATTTTCTCTTGCGATCCTCTTGATGGTTCACTATGTAATAAATGCAAAACATTTAAGAAATAATAACGACATTTTATTATATTTAGTTTTTTTTATAGTGTTATCTTTCTGATGAGTATCTACAAACATACATATATTATAAACTTCGGGAATTCCAGTTGGTGATCTAACAAATTTGTTTTTGTGATGCACTCTTCAATTATATATTATTTTATATTGAGTTTACATGCTTGATAAACAAATTCCCAGATTTATGCTATTAAACAAAAATAATATAGAATATATTATTGGGTTTGGTATAAAGAAAATCACTATTTTTTTGGTATAAATACCAGATATGATCTGAAATGAATGATGAGAGTAAATGATGCTCTTTCTTCTTGCAACGATTCTTGGAGATTAGTTTGTGCTTATCTTTTAATTCATATAAAATAAATGAAAACACTTAAAACAGGTTGTTCCCTTGCTCTTTTTTAACTTTTTACAAATTGCGAATAAAATGAACACTTAATCACAGACTAAGATCTTCACTTTATACTGCTAGCTTCGAGTTTCAATCTCAGTTGTGATTTACTAGGCAAAGTGCTAACAAGATCGAAGACGCACAATAATTTGTTGAATTAATCAGTAGAAAGTTAGATTTCGGTTTGCATTTTATCAGCTTTGACTTTTGTTATTAATTTCTATTATTGTTATTTATTTATACGCAAATTTTTCAAATTTTTATTTTTATAAAATGCTTAAATCGCTTAACATAAACATTTTACTAATAACTATCGTAATCGGTAGTGCTGTGGGACAAATCGAGTTTCCAGATCATTTCGAAGTTGATAAGAAAAAATCAAACCTTGCTGTGAGTATTTACAATAAAAATTTTTTAATTGTTTAAAAAAAAAACAAGGCATTTCCCGTAATTATATATAATATATGTATACATACATAAAATCTTTTAATAATTGGGTTTTTTTTTAACCAAGTCGAAAATGATCATAATGATGCAAACAGTATTTTTATTTAGTATACGAAGTCTTTGTTTAAAATGCTAGTGAAAGACTTCTAAGAAACGATGGTTATTAAAAAGTAATCAATTAAAAAAAAATTGTTTTCAATTTGTAAACATAAAATGTATAATAACTTAATCTTCCATAATACAGGGTCGCGTGCCTTTATTTTCACCAACACGTTGTAAAGCTAATGAATTACTATACCCTGGCGATCAAGTCGACGATTGGATATGTGACTGCGCTCCTGGTAAATATAAAAATCATATTTATAAATAATAATTTCATTAATGTACATGTATGCAAATAATGAAGATATTATTATTTACAGCTGCAATATATCATCCTGACTCAGATGCTTGCTATATAGCATTCCGTAAAGGTCCATGTAAGGAAGATGAAATGCTCGTACTTGCACCAAATAATGTTATACCAGAATGTATCAAGAATGAATGTAGAGATGGCGAAATCAGAATAAATAAAATATGTTATAAATTCGGTGATGGTGCACCGTGCCGCAATGCGCATTTATCTTATGTTTTAGGAGTTGATCCTACTACTTTAATGGTAGACTGTGTACGTCAATCAATTTCGCTTGCGTCACGTTTTGGTGATGATGGTTTACCACAAATCACAGTTGATCTTATTAAACCTTGCGCACGAGGCTCAAAACGTGCAACAAAAGGAGATTGTGCCAACCTTAATATATAATTAATATTTTAATTTTAATTTATATATATTTTTATTTAATATAATATCTCAACTTATAAACAATTCAAAAAATGTTTTCATATTTTTACGATGTACAAAAGTGATTTCAATAATTAATAAAAAAAAATTCTATTAAATTAAATTTTTTCAATGAAATTCAATGAAAGTAGCAACAACTTAAACGGCGTTATTCTTAAAGTTTTGCAAATAAAATTCTAATAAATTATAAATTATATTATATTTTCCAATATTTTTATGTTAGGTTTTTTTTTCATAAGATATATATTACGTGAAAAACTGATACTTTGAAGATTGAAAAAAGAAAAATACTTAGAAGAATTTCTAGGTTTACACTAACTACTTCCTGCATATATAATCTTTTCAATTAAGATAGTGCTTTTGGGTATAACATTTTATATATATAATTAAGTTTATCTGCTATATCTTATTCTTCAATATTGGAATAAATGCTTTTAAATGTGTAAAAATAATTTTGTCTTTTCTCTAAAGGTATCTTGAACATAATTTTTAAATAAAATTATATTTTATATACATACATACTCGATTTTGAAAGCATACACAAATATATTTAATATATATTATATGGTTTTAAAAGCATATGCGATAAACAATATTAAACAATATTAGAAAGTTAATTTTTTTAAATGTTTTAAATGATCAAAATGTTTACAAAACTTTAAGAATAGTTAAATTACATATGTATATGTATAAAATTGTTAACCTCTACTACAATTCTCTGTATTTATAGAATTATTTACAATCATGATAAAAAATATTATGGAGTTCGTGCATAATATGTATTCTTATTCATTAATCATAAGTTTATCGTGTTTTTTGTTTTGCCTGCAGATTTTTTGTCAGTTTCTTGTTCATAGGACATATTATCTAATTCCATTAAATCATTGCGCATATCATCTTCTTCTGATATATCAATGCCTCCAGCACTATCATCATCTGTTGTATTCATTTTTATTAGCCAGCTTTCCAGTGAAGCCGTGAACGGACACTCATTATACTCAGGCCAATTACGAAACTGTGTAAAAAGTGCAAGTATCTGGCTACCGCTAAGATCACCAAACTGTGTATATATATTAGTATTTTGATGGTAATCTCTACAATGCATTGTTGTGCAGCGATTAGTATATTCAGGCAGCTTGGTAGTGTCTTCATTAGGATACATAAATTCAATTCTTTCTGGTACTGAAGCATCGGCTATAACTCTAATACCACAACCAGGTATCCATTTTCTGTAGTAATTGTATTATATAATAAAAAAGAAAGATATTTATTATACTAAACTTACTCAAGATTTGGCACAACACGATTACGTCGACTTATACAGTTTTGTTTAATAAAATACCACATCGCAGGAAGATCAGCTATGGAACAAAAGTCGTTTAAATTCTGCCGAGGTGAAATTTTTACTAAGTACAAGTAATCTGTATTTATAGAATTAACCTGTAATACAGAGTAAAACAATTTTATAAAATTTCATAAAAAAAGCAAAGTAAGATTTTAACAAATTAATTCAATTTCTTTTAAGACTTTTTAAGGTATTCCTTTCTTAGATATATTATTTTATAATAATTTTTTTTGCGTTTAAATAATATACTTCAATTTTTAAGAAATAATATAATAATATTTACCCGATGTAATTTACTTTTTGGATTCATTTTGCTTTGACTTTCAGGTGGTATAAAATATTCGCGGGGAATTTTCGTTATGTATTGATACTCAAATAGAATTTGAAACAGTATTGATGTTGCGCGATAAAACATATAACCTATGTCACCAGAGCAGGTAAGGTGCTGGAAACATATAGGAATCAAAAGATACTACAAAACATATATTTATAAGCATAATAATTTTACAATGTATATTGGTGGAGGCATAACTACAAACAACTCATACCGTCCGTAAGCAATGAGACCATTTTGGAACACCAGAAAATTAATTAGGGACTTGAAAAAATTGTATGAGCCAACTACACCAAAGATGCGTGCATTAATACCTATTAAAATATTAATTATATAATTATTATTTAAAATTGTTAACATATTTGTTAATAAATTTCAGATTATACCTTCATTATATGGCATTTTAGGTACATGCTCTAGCAATTCCTCTGTACGTGTGCCATTATCCATTTTATCTTGATAGACTATCTTCGATAGATTTACAAAATCACCGCGTTTAACTTTTACACGTTCCGGATAGAGCACATGTAATTCTTCTTGCTTGGACAGAAATTCGTCCGTAGATTCAAATAGTAATATATTATCAAATTGTTTTTCTCGATCTAATAGTTTTTTCGTAAACAGTCCAAGACCAGGATTTATTTCGATTGCTGTTTTACATTGAGTGTTTGATAAAAATGGTTCTATACTTTCGTCGATTATATTTGCAGCTATTTCATTTCTAATGTACATAGAATCTGGAGTTTTTAATTTCTTATTTAGAAGTTTTTGAGGTATTTCTGTATTTACCGCCGGTATTGTTTTTGTTTTAATTTTATTCTTTACTTTAGTGCTCAGTCTATGTATATTCGTCAATTGCTTGCATGGCCTAAAAAAGATACGCTGTACATTGTACATATT